AGGTGTAAGGTTAGGGTTAGAGGATATAATATACTGTACAGTTTGTACAGTATAAAAACTATGTCCCCATAAAACATGAAAACCCAATGTGTGTGTGTGTGTGTGTGTGTGTGTGTGTGTGTACATACAGCTGTCATAATAGATTTTAATTCAGTAATTAGAATCATTTCAGTAATTTAAATACATCACAAATGCAATTCATGCATAGTTGCTTGAATACTCGAAGAGTATGTTTTTAATTTCTGGATATTTTTTATTATTTTTTTTTTTTATTCAACATATCAAAATATTAAGGTATGTCCTGAGTTTCACAATGAAGCTTAAAAAAAGACAAAATAATTAAATTCTTAAGGTTTTCTTTTCAAGTAGTTTGGCTAAATCTTTTGCATCATAAATAAATAAGCAATTTTGTCTTAAAATATAAGGTAATTTAAAATGCTTATAGCTCATTTAGATCAGGTTGTGAAATGTCATCTGTTACAAGTCCCAAAAAACTTTAAAGATGATTATGAATTACTACTTAATTTTATTTGTAGAAAAATCCTTTTTAAAAATAACGATGAAGGTAAGGAAAATATTAATTTTAACTCGATGGTTATTAAATACTTAAAAACTGTTTATGAAAATGGTATAAAAACATTGAATCATATGAAACCAACAGAAACAGAAATAATTTCTAAGAACAAACTAAATTTTAAAACTAAAATTTCTGGGAACTCCTATTTGTCACTGACACTTCAAATGTGTTAAGCTGTCATAATTCATGTTTCTACAGACACAAAACATTGTGTTTATCACTATATCAGTCATCACAGGTTCAGAAGTGACTTTTGTATTCTGTACACACACACAATGATGAAGTAGGAGATAATAAAATGTGTTAGTCACTCCCACAACTTTGCAGTATGTGGTGTTTGTTTGTGTATGTTCTCTCACAAATTTAAATCAGCTAAAAAGCAAAACCAAGTTTTCCTCATTCTACAGTCTAAAGGATATCGCTTCAGTCTCAGCTGTGAAATGTACTGTAAGCAGGGTCTGTCTCATAGAGACAGAGCGGTATGTAAACCTCCTCTGTTGGTTCAGTGGCCTCAGTGTCATGCTTTGATCGATGCCTCTGTCATCTGTGCCACTGCCCATGGGGTGAAGACTCCAGGGCCAGACGAAAGTGCACAGACAAACAAAACCCAAGTGAAGTTATGAAAGAGTTGACTGGACAGTTTTGTCGGCTTGTAGTCTAAACTCTGAAATGTCTTCTGACAAACTCTAGGGCTAGATCACTAACATTTTTGTTGCTTCTTAGAATAAGTCGTGAAAATAAAATGAATTTTTTACTGTACCTGAAATGGCAGTTTTAATTTAACTGGAAAACGAAACTGAAAATAGTTTTGGATAATTAAATATACTTTGTAATAATGTCAAATGAAAAGCTTTACTTAGCAGTACATTTGAATAATCTTTTGTCATAGTTTAAAAAAGTACACCAATTTTCATGTGTTGGCTAACATACGAAAGCATCTGTAACAAACTTAATTTTAACTGTAGTGTGTTAATATTACATTTAAAGTTAATATGTTTTAAATGTACTAAATTGCAGCCTCATCGTTACAAATACATGATGTTTCAAGACATTTAAAGGGGTCATATGATGCGATTTCAAGTTTTC